TGCAGGTCAGGGAAGCTATTGGGAGCTCTCTTTAAATGCTCTGCTCGTTGGAGCAGCGTCTGTGCCCTGCAGGTTTGTCTGTGTTGCTGTAGGAGTCCCAGGGGAGGCAAAGCAAAACTTCTTGTATCATGGAATACAACTGGAGGAAGGAAAAACTTATAGCCGTTTTTGGTGTGTGCGTAAATTATGTTTCCAAAATTTTTTTTGAGATCACTGCAAAGAAGTTTGTGCTTGAAACATTTGCCAGAACTATGAAGTTGAGCAAAGGGACCTAAACTGTGGTTGTGGAGGTCCTGTTGCTGTTCCCCCTAGTTGCTTCTAGGTGGCACTACAAGGAAATGAATAAGAGAGTTCCCTGGAAGGGAGACCGGCTGCCTGGTGCTCTGGTACCTACCAGGTCTGGGGTGACCAGCAGCTGGCAAACGAGGAAAGAAAAAAAAAAAAAGATACCTGATAAAATTGTCGAACTCTGAATTACTGTTTAGATAAGTGTGAAATGGACCATGGTCCTTAGTGCTAAAAATGTAATTGTGTATGAAACTTGCATAAAGTTCCTCCAAAAATTATAATCTCAATAAAAGTAGTCTTTTTTAAGTATTTAAACTTGTGACTGCTTTATAAAGTAGTCCTGCAGCACAATTAGACTTCAGGTACATTAAACAAATCCTTTTTCACAGGAATCTCAACTTTTTATTGTTTTCCAAGTATTTGCTTTTTTGGGGGGATTGGAGGGGGAGAATGGTTGTGTTTGATCCAGTACATACTTGAAAGTTTATTCTGGCAGATTATAAGAAGGATGTCATCTTGTGTGATGACAAGTAAAACAAATCTTATTAAAGCACAGGTCTAATTTTTTTTTTAACTTTTTATTCAGAGTTGGACTGTGTTTTGTTGAGAAATAATTATTCTAATGTATAAAATACAATGTATACATAATTAAATAACTTCTTTGTTTTTAGCAGCTCCATGAGACTGTGAAAAGAAAGCTTGATAGTGCTGCTTCCCCTCAGAACGGAGACCAGCAGAATGGCTACGGTGATGTATTTTCTGTGTCCAAGAAACTACGTCGTGATGATGGTCTCGGTGGAGTGAGCGGTTCTTCCAACGGGATGCCCCCTGTTTCTCCACTGCATCACCCTGATAAGAAATCCTCCAGCACAGATACCTTACAGCTCAATGGGAAACATTCAGTGGGACTAGATGGCATTAGCAAGAAGTGTCTTCCAGATTCCAACCTGCAGATGAATGGAGGTGGTGATGCTGATGATTCGTTTCCTTTGAGTTTGAACAAGGAACTTAAGCAGGAGCCTGTGGATGATCTTCCTTGTATGATTGCTGGAGCAGGGGGTTCTATTTCTCAGAACAACTTGATGCCTGATCTTAATCTTAATGAGCAAGAATGGAAGGAGCTTATTGATGAGCTTAATAGATCAGTGCCTGATGAAGACATGAAGGATCTCTTTAATGAAGACTTTGAAGAGAAAAAGGATGCAGATTCTTCAAATTCGGCTGCACAGACTCCTTTGCCACAGGATATTAACATAAAGACGGAGTTTTCTCCAGCCTTTGAACAGGAACAGATGGGATCTCCACAGGTTAGATCCACTTCTTCAGGTTCAGCATTTATGGGTGCTGCTTCTGTGCCTGTAAGTGCTGCTTCTCCAGCAGTTGGTAGTTCTCAGGCAATGTTTCAGCCTTCCAGTCAGTCAATGACTGAAAATCCCAACCAGCCCATGATGCAGGCATCAAACCACTCTCAGAACGTCCAGAGGCCTCTCCCCAATGTGCTGTTACCTGGGAAGGGCACAGGAGGTGCCAAAGAAATGTCCTCTGCTCATCAACTTCAGCAGATTGCTGCCAAGCAGAAGAGAGACCAGATGCTGCAGAACCAGCAACAAGCTTCCCAAGTCCACCAACCTAATCAGATGTCCAGCTGGCAACAGTCTGGGCCTTCTCACAGTCCGCTGGCTGTCCCATATAACATGGAAAATCCCACCAGTCCCTCGGTTTACCAGCCAGACTTCAACAATCAGAAGCTCATGATGTCTAATATGGGAAATAAAAGCTCACCAAGAGCTGGAGGCAATTATCACGTGGGCATGCTGGGTCACCAGCAAAACAGCTTGAACCAGAACCCTGTGAGTAATCAAGGCTCCATGCTAGACTACGGAAACACCAAGCCTCTTTCCCATTACAAGGTGGAATGTGAACAGGGAGTTTCATTACCTGCTCAGAACAAGACTTCCATGCTGGCTTACATACAGCAACGGCAGCCGCCGGCGCCGCCTCAACATCGCCTACCGACCTCTCCTGCCCCACAGTCAGGTGCATATTCTCATTCTTTGCAGTTATTGTTGACTTTGTTCAGTGGCAGATTGAAGGTTTTGCAACAGGTTGTTGGATCAGTAAGATCAGAATATAGATTACTTAGAAATATTTCAAAACAGTTGCTGCTTGTCTTTGAAGTAGAAAATAAGAATATGCAACAAGCCAGGAAAAGAATCAATAACTGTATTTTCTGCTGAGGATCGTTTCTAATACACAACATTCTAAATAATGCTGGCAACTTATGATTTCCAGCTTAATATACATGTGGGGAACAAATTTTGTCACACGTTGCAGAAATTAGTACTTGCAAAGATAAATAGATGCTGTGTAAACCTTTGCCTAAAATAACTTTCGTAACACCTTGGTTTTAAACAACATTCTCAAAGAAGCCTTGCTTTCTGCAGCTTTTCAGTCCCTCACTTCTCTCAGAGCTGACTTGCTATAAACAGATGTGTCTTGAGTTGCTTGTCTTTGAAAAGGAGTGAGCTGCTTGTTTTGGGGGGTGTTTCTTGGGCTTTTTCAAAGCTAAGAATTTGCCCTAGTTAAGTCGATGGGAATAGGGGAAGCATGGGAAGGGATCTGTCTTTAAGAATGAAGTTAATAGCAATATTTGTGTGCTGAAGTAATAAGCTTCAGATTTATTTATTTCTATAAAGATGTGTTGGTTGTGCTCATTTGTCTTACGATAATATAAAGGATTTTGCAACAGTAAATACCAGGGTACACCTGGTATTACAGGTATCCTGTGGGTGAAACCTGTGGAGTGGGTGGAGGGGAGGAGACTTGGAATTTTGTGACTTGTGCCTGTGATGCACGGACTGGGTGGCTTTTTGAAGACGTGTCTATTAGAAGGATTAAAACTCCTCTAACAAAGGTGTTACCTAGTTATGCTTCCTCAGTAAGGCAAAGTAAAGAACAGTAAAGGAAATAACTGGTTAATCTGTGGGAGAGATCACACTGATATAAAACTGAGACCAACGTATGCCTTGTAAGATGAGGCTCTCCCTCCCAGCTGAGAGCCCTGAAGGTGACCTTACATGTACATTGTCACCATTGCACTGAAATAACAAAAATATTAATTAACACTTCTGGAGAATTTGTCAAAAGCTTGCACATACTTGCACAACACAGCATTACCTATATTTGGCTCATGATTCCTGATGAAACTGCAAGGAATAAAAACCAACAGCCTAGCTCATTAGCTAAATTCTAATATTGAAGGTGATATTTGTTAGCATAATTAGAGTTGAGGTTGAACTGTGCTTGGAAATGGCAAAAATTTCCAGTCAAATTTCAAATGGATTTGCTGGTACAAAGCGAACAGTATTGAGTCTTAATTACTTCATGTTATTTTTACTTGGTGGTAATTGATTTTTTTTCCCTGATTTCTCTTCTCCTGAAAATGGAGATACTTTTGAAGAAAAATAATGAAACTAGGTTAACTCTGTAGTAGTATTTCTGGGGATGGTAGTAGCCATTGCATTGCTGGAAAAGATGATTTAGACTTCGCTTTGGTCACTGATAAGCCTTCTTCCCCTTCACTTGCAAGTGTGAAATAGTATGTTAGTATCAAAAACAACTTCAAAAGGAGAGGCATAAACACTTGCTGAATTAAATAGTGTCAGAAAAGGTAGAATTTAAGTGTTTTGTATAAAGATAATTCAAATGTTTGAAATCCTGCTACCAAAGTTAACTGAGGCTGGTGGATTTGAAGAACTGTTTGTGACTGGGCTGATTAGAAGCATGCAAAGCCGTGTGCAGCTGCTTGGTTTGTAACTTGGGAATATGGTGAGGTAGCAGTTAACACCTCTCTTGCTGGATGTTTTGGAGCCTGTGACACTAACTTCAATCTCTCACTTTCATGTCTGGCGCTTGAGAAATGGGGCTTTTGGTGTCTTTGATTAACTGAACTGAAAACCGTATAGCACTTTGTCTCTTCAGAAGCTTCTTAAATAGAGAAGTTATTGCATAAAGATGCAGAGCCATTCTAATTTTTATTGAACAGCTATGTGAATTTACAAAAAGCAGTAATTGACATTTTTTGTATTCTTGAGCATATAATTCCTTGTGGTTTTCACTGTGAAAGTGACTTTGTTCATTCGTGTAACTACATGAGATTTGTCAAGCCTGGAGAGCTAACCTCCTGTAACTTGCGTGGCCTTTTGTATTCTGCAGGATCAAAACCCTTCTCCTAATGTTCCTCGTGTCCCCGTTTCTGTCCCGGGCCCCGGCGTTGGTGCCCAGGCTCCCTCGGTGTCCATGGCAGGTAACCACAGCAGCGCGTCCTATCTCAGCAACCAGCAGCAAGCAGCGGTGATGAAGCAGCACCAACTGCTCATGGACCAGCAGAAGCAAAGGGAGCAGCAACAAAAGCACTTGCTCATGGAGCAGCAGAAGCAGCAGTTCCTGCTGGGACAGAGGCAGCAACACCTTCTCGCTGAGCAGGTAAGAACCAGTCGTTTGTCTTTCTGCTGATTGGCTTTGGGAGCCTGAAGCAGCACTTGAAATCGTGCAGGATGGTTATCACCTTGCAAACAGGGTTTGTAAATTACCAGACATTTTGATGTAATAAAAGTGATTACTGTTCAGTATGCTTATATGAGTATCTCAAACACATTTAACTGCTGCGGCTTAGTTTTTCTGCTATTGTAAGAGTGGAATGAAGAGTTGTGAACTAAGAGTATAAAATGGGTGGAATTTGCTTGTGTGGAAGTGCAAGCTGATAACTACAAGGAGAGGAGGTATCATGGCAGGGCTGGTGTGATCCTTTGTGGAGGAAGACAGGCAAATGAGATCAGCAAAACAAAAGACAAGGCTGGGAGGCTGCTGATAAGCTCGCAGAGCTCTGAAAATGGGAGCAATTAGTACAGACCGAATCTGTAAGCTGAACATGTCTGCTTTCTCCTATATAAGTGCTACAGCAGTTATGTTTCAAATATTAAAATGTCTCTTTTTCCTGGGGAAGTTGATTAAACAGCTAATTAACTCTGCTACCCTTTAGACTGTGCAGAAAGTCCTTCTGTGTCTCTTGGAAACAGCTTCCTGTGTGAACCTTTCTAAGCTTTAGACCTTTTGCAAGTCTTTCAGTTGGAAATCAGCCTAGAGGGCTTTAATTCCCATTATTTGTGCTTTCCTGCATCTTTGAGGAGGAAAAACCCATACAGGCCTGTTCTAGCTACTATATGTACAAAGAAATTACCAGTGTCTAGTATGAAGGAAGTGGGAGATTAATTTTCAAAGAAGTGTGAGAGCCAGGGAGAACTTTCCTTTTTTTTTTTTCTTTTTTTCTTCTTTTTTTTTTTTTGGGAGGGAGCAGGGGATTAACGATCTGCACTGCTAGAAAGTGTTGACTTTGGGGATAGCAAAGAAAAGAGCCATTGATTCAGAGAACAAGACAATGAACTGTACATATGCACAAGAATAATAATTAAAGTACATTGAAATGTTCTGGAGTCCTTCAAATAATAATGGTTGGGAATATGTCTTTTTTTAGTTTAAAGCACTATTAGAAGCTTTTAAAGTTGTGAGTTGTCCTGGTAAGCAGGATTTTTACTACAATGATAGTGTAGAAAATAGAGCTGGAGAAAGAAGGTCAGATAATGACTGGGGGGGGAGTTAGCTTTTGCTGAGGCAGTTGTCTTTTAGAAGCATTATTTAAGAAAAGAGGAAATGACACTCTCCTCCAGACCGTAAATATACGTGAAGTCTTGAATAAGGAGAATCTGCAGCGTTGTGGGACTATAGTTATGACAAGTCCTGGCTCATTTCTTTTGTTGACCATGTGATACTTGGTTATAACTAAGACTAGATGGAGCCCTCTTGCTAAGTTGGAGCTGATCAGACTTGGATGCTGCGTTAGTTTCATTTCTCGGTCTTGCACTGGCTAGAACCTCTCCGCTTTCGAATCTGATGTTCTACACAAACTTCTGATAGTGGAAGTAGCTCTACAAAAAGGCTTTTGAAACATTTAGTCTCTATTTTGCAAAAGAACTGTGGTTTCCACTAACTTCAGTGCCATTCCCTTCCACTCTAGAGCTTTCTTTGCCTTTGCTGTTCCGCATCCTTTCCATTTGCTGAGGCTGGCACCCCGAGCTCGTGCTTTCTTGCAGATCTGTGGCATCTCTCCTCACTTTCTGTGGTCAGCCCCTTTCAGGTCTGACTGGTCCTGCGGGTGGCAAGTCCCTTGTGTGAGGGAGCCTGTGCTCTTCATTCCTCTGCATGTCTCAACAACTTCCTAGCTGTAGACATTTTAAATCTACTTATTTGTTTCACTGTGCGAGTCCCTTTTTAAAGGCTTAATGTTTGCTCGTTCACCCCAGTATACTTGGAAGGCAATTTCTGTCCCCTTCTATGCCCTGTGCAATGTTTTAGGTAAGTAGGCAGTTGGCCACTGTATCACTTCTTAGTTTTCCCAAAATTTAGTCTGACTGAATCTCATCTCTGGAATAAAAGCCAGAAAGGCTACCCCTTATACTGTAAAAGCAGCATTTTGGCTGTTTAACAGCACACCAAGATCTTGATGGTACAGTCTCATGCACTCTCACACATGTGCACCTTCTCCCTCCCACTAAAGACTTAAAATTTCTTTATGCTTTTTAATGCCTTTATTTTATATATCTTGTTAAGATTAAATGATACGGAGACAAGGAGCAAAAAATATGCATTTTTTTTATAGACACTCGTTTTTTCTCCCTTGCTTTGTACCAGTTAGTGTCTTCAAAGGATTTCTGAAAATCCACTGAATGTATTACTGATTGAAAGCCTAATATTCCTGATTTTGGCAGTGTTCTGAAGGACTCAAATATGCATTGCAATAGTTTCCCTAATGCATGCTGTTGTCTCCAAGTTCCTCGTTTTCTTTATCGGACTTAGTTGAGTGAACCTTGGCGGGGTGGGGGGAAGAAAAACAAACTTTTTAATGCTGCTGAAGCTATCTCCTTGTAAAAGTGTGCACACCTCTTGGTCCTTATCCAAGAGAGGTGCTCTTGGAAAAAATTCCTTCACTCGTTTTCTAATTCTGTGGTATTTGCCTCTTCTCTCCTAGGAGAAACAGCGGCACCAGCAAGAGCAGCAGCTGCAGCGGCACCTGACCCGGCCACCTCCCCAGTATCAGGATCAGCCCCAGAATCCCTATCAGCAGCAGGTTGGACAGTTCACAGGTAAGCAGATGTGGCAGTTGAATTAGCGGCCAAAAGAAATTTAAGGACTTAAAGCAAGATGTCTTCAAAGTTCCCAAATTGGATAGCTTTTAATTAATTAAATGCTGTGTCATTATGCCATAATGTTTTGAGCTGTACTGTGATTCAATTGAAAACAGCCTCCTTTGTCCTGGTACCTTGTTTAGGTCAACTTACATTGCTGATTCTTTAATTTTGCTTTGGAACTGGGTATAATTCTTAATTATCTTTTTTTTTTCTAAAGGTCTTTTTGTATCACCCCTTCACTTTGCAGACTGTAAATATCCCTAGCTTTTTTGCATTTGTGTGATGTTAGGATTTTCTTTTTTTCTGAAACCTAACATCACTTCTGCTTGTATTTGCTGCAGACATTCATTAACAAAAGCCACATGACTTATTATTGCCTTCACTTACCAGGATGAAATTCAAACTCTTAATGCTTTTACTCCTGCTATCTTTAGAGGGGAATGCAGGCTTAATTCTGTTTGTTACATATTGGTATCCTGTGTGGGTGTTTTGTAGAAGAAATTTGCTATGTATTTAGTACACTAATAATGATAAATAAAAGATGTTGTTACCATTTAGCTAAAATAGTATCATGAATGTGGAAGAATTAGAGAACAGTTTTTAAAAAAAACAAACTCCTTACATAACAGGATACCCAGTAGCTATCACAGTGATAACTGTGATAAGTAGCATCCTTTTTTGCAAAAATATAGGGGCAGATCTGTTAAAATATATGCTGCCATAATGAATATCACAGGCTTTTCTGTGCCCTTCCCTTGCCCCCCATCAGTTGCTTTTAGTACAGGGGCTCTCTCTCCTGCAGCAAGAACATTTTTACTTGGGGTTGACAAGGGCAAAGGTCTTTTGGTGTCTCTTTGCTTTGCTGAGATGATTTATTTTTGCAAATCATCCTGTGTGATTATCAGTCTTTGCAAATCATCATAGTGAATGTTTCGTCATGAAAAAGCCAAAGGTACTTGACCAAAAAAAGACTGCTGAAAGTTATACAAAGCAGAAGAAGTTTCTGGAATTAGGAAAATGTCGCCCGCAAATACCACAGTGGTATGATGTGAGATACAATATAGGTGCACAGGATAACTGACAGTATTATGCAGTCAGGTATTTTTAAGAGTCTGGTATATTGTGCATGTACTTTGAAGTGTGTGTGTGTGCACACACTTCTGCACACAAAGAAATAGTGGAGTCCTACTTTTAAACTTTGCCTTTTTTCAGAATAATGCTGAATAATTTTTCAGAATAACTCCAGAAGTGACATTCAAATTTTTTAGGATGTTGTCATATCTGTGGTTTGAGATCAGCTCAGCTGCTAACTGGGGCAGCAACACACTTTGTGCTGCTCTCTGTCAGTTGCAGAAATTGGTTTATTTAGAGGCAGCTGCACCTCCTTGCTGGAGCATAGGGTCACCGGGCCTCGCCTGGCTCTAGCTGAACCAAAATGGTTAATATACAAAACATTTCTCTTGTGTTTCAGGGTCGTCTTCAGCCATGCCTGGGGTAAGCAATTTAGGACAGTCCAACTCGAGTAGCCCGCGGATGTTTCCCCAGACGCAGAACATGCTCCCCATGGGGCCCGGGCATGGCTCTGTGCCCGCGCTGCCGTCGGGCTCCAGCCCGCAGGAGCGGGCCGTGCCGCAGTACGGCGGCCTGCAGAACATGCAGCGCGGGGCCATCTACAACCTGGCGTCGGGGCTGCCGCAGCTGGTCCCGCAGCACGCGGCGCAGGGCGCCAACGGGCAGCCGCCCATGCAGAGACAGGGCAGCCTGGGCCAGGGGGCTGCCGTTCCTGCCGCCTACGGGCAGAACGCCTTGGCAAACTCGAGTATTTCTCAGCAGCACGGTAAAGGGGCACTGAATCCGACTTTATCTAAGCCGCAGATGGCAAGAGTACCAGCTGCTATGGGGGCTCAAAATCCATCCTGGCAACACCAAGGTATCCCTAATATTAACAGCCAGACGCAAGGAAACGGTGGCTTAGGACCATTTACTGCCAGCTCCTCTTTCCACATGCAACAAACTCATCTAAAGATGGCCAACCAGCAGTTTGCTCAAGGAATGCCTCAGGTAAGCCTAAGCACCAGCAGACCCATGACCTCCATGAATGCTGCTGTCTCTGGGCAGATGTTGTCGTCATCTTTGGGCGCACAGCAGCGGACAAACCCCCCTGCGCAGCAGCAGGTCCCCTCGCAGCAAGTCTTGCCTGGCATGAACCAGGCTGTTCCAGATCTGACTGCTTTCAACCAGAATCCAAATCAGCAACTGCCCAACAGGGGTAACCTGCACTGTAGCCAAGGGTACCCCGTGAGGACAACGAGCCAAGAGCTGCCTTTTGCCTACAGCAGCCAGTCGGGCAATAACGGACTTCAGAACTTGACTGGTGACACAGATCTGATAGACTCTTTGCTGAAAAACAGGACTTCAGAGGAGTGGATGAATGATTTGGATGAGTTGTTAGGAACTCATTAGAATGGAGCTGGGGGGGTAATTTTTTTTAATTATTTCATGGAATATAAATGACACCTGGACCAAAAAACCTGTGGCATTGAGGAGACTTGCTGGCATTAGAGGTAAACAGTTGGGAAAGGGACTGGAGCTGCTTCTCAATGGCCGTTGCTGCGTGGTCGCGGCGCACCAAGCGGGTCCGCACGAGTCGCGCCGTTTGTCTTCATGTCTCTAGGATGTCGCACAGCTGAACAGGTCAAACAGAACTGTGCACATCCTAGCCAGCCTTTCAGAAATCTCACTTGCAGTGTTCTGAAATTATTATTTTTTAATTATTTAAAAGTGAAATTCCACAGAAATAGTTCAGAAAGAAAGCAGATAGTTGCACAAATTGTGGTTAGGGCTTAGTCTCCTGCAGCTATTACTTGTGATCATTATTGTTCATAGCTTGACATGCTATTACAGTACTTTCCATCAGGCTTCTGACTTTTTATTTGAGAAGAGAGTGTATGCAACTGAGTACGCTTGCAAGATGTTTTCAGTTGTTCTTTTTTCATGGCTGAAGCGTGTGCCTGTACTCCCAATAAGCAAGTGATATTTCATGGTAAATGTTTCTAGATGCTGGTGATAGATGAAAGAAAGTATTAAAACCTGGCCAGTTAGCCTAGGTAGTCTTCTTAATAGATTGTAGTCTTTTAAGCTGCAGTTTGCACTCTGTTTTAGAGGGGCACAGTTCTTGGCTTATACCTTGCTGTGTTTAAAGGGGGAATTTCTTATGGGAGAACTTTTAAACTATAGTAGGTTTAACATGAATTGTAAAGCCATTTACTTTGCACCTGTTTCTTCATAACTTATTTCCAAAGGTAGTTGTATTTAAATGAAGGCTTTGCTTCATGACAGTTCATCTTGTTGTTTCTTTGTTGTAAAAAGTAAAACTAACTTTTGAGAGCAGTTGATTCCCAAAAGTTACCAGTGATGACATGAGCACAAGACTTTGTCACTTCAGGATAAAATGAGGAGAAATGAATTTGGCTGAGAGGTGAAAAGTCCTTATCAGCAATAATAGCACAGGCAGCCTGGGAGTACTTGTTGTCAGGATTGCTCCAATATGGAAGTCTCCCCCTTTAAATACCTTTGAAAAAAACAGAAAAATAAAAAAGGGTTGTGAGTTTTGATAACCTTTCTATTGACAGGTGGGTTTACTTTAATATCCCTTGTAGCAGCTGCTGGTTCTTCAGCTTGGCCCAAGGAGACCCTCTCATTCACACGTTGGGGTCAGTCCCAGAAAGGACGAAAACGCAGCGGGAACAGTCAGTGTTCCAAAGTCCTTACTTTCTACCAAAAAATCCCCTATCCACCAACAAACCACCTTGCCTTAATGTTTATTTTAAAATGAAAATAAAGTTGAAAGCTTTTGTTTTGAATGCACAGATACCTCTTCCCTTTCTAAAACCACCTTTTTTTTTGTTTTGGAAAACTCCTTTAAATTTTCTAACCAAACCTAGCATTGTGATTTAAAAGCAATTTCCTTCAGCACAGACTGGCTTCTTCAGGAGTTTTCTGCACTGCAGAGAAATGAGAGGATTTTTTTTCCAGAATGGGAGAGGGAAAGTGAAGGATAACATTGCATTCGAAGGAGGAAAGTATTTTACTGTATCTGCAGCTTCTTTATCAGACAATTTGCACTTTTAAACAACTGCTTTTTAACACTAATATTTTAACCCTTTCCAAATATGCATGGAACATGGTTTGTCCTACACACTTACCTAGTGTGAATTGTTTATGCTCTGTTAAACAGATTGGATATTGTATCATGTTGAACTGTTGGTGAAAATGTGCATTGATCAGTGGTTCCCACCATTGAATAGTGGATAAAACTTCACTGCAGCGGACTTAATCCCTCGTAGAGCTTTCGGAAAGATAACATAGAGCTTGTTCTTGGATGGGAAACAAAAGTGTTAGTGACTTTCGTTATTGACACTCTTCTGATATTTTCTAGAATAAGTAGTTGATATGCAAATAATGATGCTAATTTTTTTATACTGGCAATCTGAGAAAAAGAAAAAAGCTAGTGAGTTTGGTTTACTATTAAGTTAAACCAAAAACTGGTCCAAGGTAAGGTCACTAGAAGAGTATAGATAAACTAGCAATGGCAGGGGAAGGAGTATTTGCTGTATTTTTATTTTTAAGGGTTAACTTTGCACCAGTGTGCCTTCCCTTTCTTTTGGGGGTGCTTGGGACCTCATAATTTCAGGTGGCATCCTGTAGTGTCACTTTTTTTCTCCCCCTTACAAACACTTCAGAGAAATAACAGGGTAGCAGGACTCAGACTTTTTCTTCCCCGTTTAGATTGTGGTGAGATCTGCTACATTCTCCAGTAGATTTTGCACACAGATTATATTTCTGAATAAGTCAAAATACAATCCATCCAGTTGCGGTTTCCTGATTGGAGGGAAAGAACATCTGCTCTTTGCATGATTACTACCAAAAACGCAGTCCAGCTAAATGTCCGGGAAATGCAGATGTACTTTTTCCTCCTGTTTCTGGAAGTTGAGGCGGATATTGCCCTGCTTGACCCGAGGGTTTGTTCAGGAAGGTGTCTAGATCCGACGACGAGGCCGTGTCTGTACTAGTCATGGCCCTGTCGAACGAAGTTGAAGCGCGATCGCGGGCAGAGCTGCTGGTAGTGCCCTTTGGTCTGCATATGTGAACAGGCTCCCAGCAGTGTTTAACCTGGTAGAAAAACACCAGCCTTGGCTTCTGTTCGCGGTCCCTGTCCACATAATACAATCAGGCTATTAAAAACATGGTATCACTGTAACAATGTTGAAACAGTTCAGTAGAAATGAAAATAGGGTTTAGATGTACATAGGTGCGTGGATAGGGCCGGGCTTTGCCTTCCTGCCCTCTCCCATGTAGCTGTCTGTTTATGCACTTGGGCTTTCCATTTGCTGCAGCTTCAGAGCAATAAAACGTAGCTCCCCTGAACTTCACCTGGCCAGCCGCCCATGGCTTTATTTATAAACTGCGGTCTTGGCTGGGTAGGAAAGGTGAGAGTGTCACTGTGCAACATCCACTGCCTTCCAAATACCACAATTCAATTGAAAAGGGTGCTCAAAATTTTGTTATACACATTTCCTTTGTGTAAATAAATGTTTACAATTTTATATTAAAGATTTGAATAAGAGTTAGATCTTCTGACTGTATATTTTTTACTTTTTATAGATTTTAAAACTATAATTCTTTATATATGTGTTTGGGGGGGTATTATGGTAAGTTTTATGCTTGTAAATGGAGAACAGTTGAATTTGCTAACCTTTATGATTTTTTTGTCATTGAAATGTATAAAGAGTCCATTAATCCCCCCTTATTCTTTTACTACAATTACTGGTGCACACCAAAAAAAATCCTTCACTTCTGTTTTATCATTATAAAATAAATATTTTGCTAGTGTATTAAACATACGGTGTGACTTAGTTTGTGTGAACTGAGCAAAGTGTTGTGCATCCTTGTTCCTGGTGAGATGGCCTCCTCCATCCCAGTACAGGATTCTGGTGAGCCTGTTACTCAAATTCTTCTGCCGTGTCTTACTGTGATTTTTTAGAAAGTTCCATTTAAACAGGATAATACTGGGTTAAAATACAGACTTCAATTTTATTTCCAAAACAACGCTTAACTTTAGGCCATATCTGCTTTTTCTTGACTGTTGTCTTTTAATGCAATTAAAGTCATCAAGCTAGGTAATATATCTGCAGATAGTACTTGTTATGGTTATTAAGCAATATTTTACTCTTATTTCTAAATCTAAGATGAAAAAGGTAGCAGAAGTTTCTCAGAGCTCATGTGCAAAATCGCTGGTAGTTCCCCCAAAAAATGCTTGGGTTCCTTTGAAATATCCAGGCTTAAATATTCAAATTTACTTCCATGCGTTTTGCCAAAAGGCAAAGATAATGTGAGTTTGAGGTAAGCAGACCACACAAAAAAGAAGTGAGAAGTCAGACACACTACAAACGTAAGTTTATGTTTCTGATCAGCATTAAAGTACGTGGCAGCCAGTTATCTGAGGCATTTGGACTGAAGTTGACATGTGAAGGTCACTAAGTCACTGTGTAGTGTTGATGGACTGAAGATGATGTGGGAGAAAAGAATATTCTTCAGATCTTGTTAGACTATTGAGCCTCTGTTAAGATCGAGCTTGTGTGTGTTGATGAGAATAGAAATAAAGCAAAAATCTTTGGCCCGATCATTGTCCAAGGGACTCCAGTTTTCACTGCTGTAAGTTCGGATGTTAATGTGTTCTTATTGTTATCAGGTAGTCGTCAATTCATTACTTGATGACTTACTGCAATGACTTGAACATTTCAAACAGTTTGAATCATGTTACTCTACGCAGACCTAAAAATTCTTCTTTTATGTAGTATTTCCTGTTTGTCAAGTGTTACTTTTAACTGATTGTATCTAGTCTTCTGAAGTTCTAAACCAGCATCTCAAATATCTCTCTCCAACCACAGATACAGCAATAGTGATAAAGAAAAAAAATTGCACAGTGTAGCCAAGGTGTTTCTTGCCAAAGCTGTGTTCATCTTACATGTTAGAGCAACTTCAGCCGTCCTTCTGTTGGTAAGAATTGAAATCAACTGCAAATACTCAAAAGATCCTTCCCCACGGCATGGACTGACGAGCGTTTCTGTATCGCTGCGGTGTTTAATGCGCCAGCTTGGAGATTTCAAACACTTTCCACCAAGTGCACCCTGCATTGCTGGGGTGTGTTTCCTTCTCCACCTTTTGAGCAGTATCTGCAGGGAGGAGGGGGAATGCAACTTCATAAGGTTAGAAAGAATCAAACGTCATAAGTTATAATAGCGGGGGGCACTTGTAACCTATGGGAACCGTTGTATTGTTACTTTCAACTTTTGCCTTATTGTGCCATTGAAAGGGTTTTATTGAGGTGAGTAAAATGGAAACTTCCCAACCTGTCATCAAGTTGAAGAACATTTGCACATGCAGGTTTTTCTGAGGATATTAAGGAGTCATTGGCAGCTCGTGATCAACCTCTGCTCTGAAACTAGCCTCCCCCCCACACATACTTTATTTTTTCTTCCTCCCTCTTGATGCACTGACTCTCCTGAGTCTGTAACAAAAGTGATCTCTAAGCTTAAGCTGGTTATTGAGATGGTGTAAGCACAAGTAGATTTTATGGCATTTCCCCTCTGATTTTTATGTATTAGAGATCTCAAATGAAAGTCGCTGGTCACCAACAGATTTCATTAAATAGAAATACAAAATTAACCTCCAGTCTGGGTCTGCTATCAGACTGGAGGGAGGAAGCTGCATTGCACGAGTGTTCTGCCGAGGGAGGGACTTATTTTTTTTTTTAATCCTAATTTTTTTTTAAATTTTTTTTAATCCTGGTGCTTTACAAATATGTTCAGTGCGTGTGTTCAAATTAACTGGAAAGATTGGAAAGATTTTAACTTGATGAGGTGTCACAGTGGGGGTTTTTAGGAAATGAAGATCTAGAATAGCAGTATCTAGCATCTAGACTGCGGGTGTCTTGCTGGTATCATGTGCAAATTCCATATCGAGATGACTGTGTGCGTGGAAAATTGGACAGAAAATTAGACTGAGAAACTTAGGTTGGTAATGAGTAATACCCTTTTCCTCTTTTTAGGGTCCAAAACTTTGAAGTCAGAGTAGTCTTTTATTTATATACCGTGTTTTGGAGCAAATTTGCTAGTGTTTTAACTGATGGACATTTTTCTCTGTATTAGGGAGAAAAGATATAGAGGGCTATGGTATTCCCACTTTTCAAGCTTTGCATTTTACAATATAATTTAGTCTGCTGTCAATTCAACATTTCTGAAGGTCAGCTTGTTTCTACATCCTTTACATGCTACCCATCCTCACCTCAGAACTTGGGTTCTGCCTTTTAGCCAGGAAAATGTTTCTTCTGAAGAACTGAAAACCCCCCAAAAATGCAAAAAGTGACTGAGCACAGAACAAGGACTGTACTCTTTATTTGGTGGATTTACAGAAGCAACCAGTTAAGGGGCTTAACACTTGGAAGCTTTAAAAAAAATTCCAATAACAGAATTAAAGTGTTATAATTAAAGTAGAGAAGATCTTTAATAAGGTCAACATAGTACTCAGTTTAAGAGGAATAGGCCAAGGGATGGAAAAATCTCCATCCTTTTTGAACTGCCAGTAGTTCATAAGTCATTCTGACACGGTAGAAAAATCTGTAATTAAAATTGCAGTTTTGTTGAGCACCCAAAGCAGCTGCTGTTACAAAGTTCAGCAAGAGCTACCTGGTTCTAACTGAGTGTTTGGGGAGCCTGGCCCTGCTGTGGAAACCTGCTCTGTGGCATGGGGAGAGTTAATGCTGTGGAGGAAACACGTGCTGCTGTGCAGCAATGAGCAGGCTGCAGGGCATGCTGTGGTGGGAGAGGGAATTGGAGAGCTCTCATACACTCCTTGCACCTGACTGTTCTTTTTTGGTCCACTCAATAGTGAGCAGCATGAGAAACCAGATCGACCTGCTCGCCACCGTCACTGTCCTGGGAGTCCTGGAGCAAGGTACCTGTCCTTTGTATCCCTCTATATACCCTCGGTAGCATTAAGCTCGTTGTTCTGAATTTTGCTGTGCTTCGTTCCTATATTGTGCTCATCATCCCTGAGAATGAAAAACGCCTTTGTCTGGCATGGTAAAATAATGCAAATTATTTGGCTCTTCCCTACAGCTGTGTTACACATGAGGAAATTCGTTATTTAACCGGAGCTAAAATGATTTGCAAGCCTCAAAGCCTGTACCCCACAAGGAAGTGAAAGTTAAGTTTTACTTGTAAACTTAGACCAATTCCAACAATGGAAGGGTTTTAAGGTGAAATATTTCCTATGATTGAATTTTAGCAGGTAATTTATAAGATCTAAAGTTGCTACAGGTAGCCAAAGCAAAGTCAAGCTGAGCGAGGATGTTCTCTTGCAGTTGGCTGAATTGGTGAAAGTCAATGCACAAACACATGTGTGGACATGAACAACGGTGACAAGAATGCATAGGAAAAGAGCTTGAAGTAGGCAAGTATTTCTCTGTGGCCAGTGTTTGTTTAGTTCATGTAGCTGAGTTGTGCTGAGCACGTGCCAAATAAAGGTGCTGAGAGCCTGGAGTGATTTGGAAGCTAACGCATCAAGCTGGGCTGCTGTGATAGCTCCAGCATTGCCTAACAGAGCTGCAAACCTTTAACTCTTCTTTGCAGCGTTCTTAGCTCGTGCCCAGCTTTCCACTTGGAACGTGTTTTGTGCCATCTGAGATGCATGACAGGTTGAAACAAGTAGACTTTAATGAGTATTGTAAACCAAAATGCCTTAATTAGCAGTAATGATTAAAATGAGAGTAAAATGACTGACAGACTGCAACCAACTACAAGTGTTTGAGCTGTTTAAGCAAGGAAGATTAGTAAGTGAGAGGCGATAGTTGGTGTCACTCATGGGATAATGAAATTAGACATAAGAGTCTTAGGCTGATGCCTATTTAAGTTTGATTATTTTCTACTAACTGTGGCATAAGTCTCTGTGTAATGAAAAGAGGTTTTACTAATGTTCCCAAACTTGTTCATGAAGAATAAAACCAGCTTCTTGAGCATTGATAACTGAGTGTGTTAATTAGTTTTAGAATATATTTTTGAATGAGCTCATGATAATATGATGTAGCGTCAAACCTTTCTTTTCGGTCATGGATGTAAGAGTGCAAATTCATGAAAATTAATGCTTAAAGCTCAGAAAGCTGCTGCAGCCGCCTTGCCCTTAGCAAGGGTGTGTGTGACGGTGGCTCTTGGCCTGCTGCACGGAGCCAGGCTTCGGAGCTTTGATTTGATAGCGTGGGTCTTTGGAATATATTGTGTGCTCCTGGTCTAAATAGTTTTAAAACTTTTGATATTCTGCATATGAGCAGGGAGAGCTGAAATGTGCCTGTTCTGCAGGTCACTTTAGTTCATGCCAACAGGGGCTATGCCAGAGAACTGCTCCTCGAGCGCTGGTATGTTGGGAATTTGGTACGCCGGTGTGGAACTAGGAGGCTCAGTGCCGTGTTACCACATTTAGGAGACAGAAAGTTATTTTGACCCTAGCTGCAAAATTGCTCTGACCTCCATTCTGCAGAAGTGCCCCCTCTTTCAGAGGGCTGCGAAATCCCGTGTCAGAGCTCAGCGAGTAGAAACCATGGAGTTCAGGTGCTGAAAAACTACAATTTACCAACCTCTCCAGGTGTCCCCTAGGGAGCTTCAACTTCACCGTTGGCTCCAACTTCACCCCTCTCTGGCCTTTGGACAATTCCCCATGAGAAGTTTTTCCTTTTTTTGAGATCTCTTGCTGAAAAGCGATCTCTTTCAGCCAGACATAAGCATATTTAGAATGTAAGAATTAATAAAACAGTGTAAGTTTACAAATTAAAATCTTCACCTTTCTCTAAGGGAAGGTTTGATCAGGAACATTTACTTTTTTTTTTTTTTTTTTCTTTTAATTACTGAAGTCGTTTGCCCTAGAGCTCTTGAACCTCTGTGCTCAGAAATGTTTGGATGGAAACCTCTGAGCAGTCTCATGTATTCTCAGCCACTAGGTGACAAAAAGCTCCATGTTAAACCTCTTTAAAAAACACAAATGTGTTTTAAAAGTGTAGGAGACTTCTGAATTATCAGTGATTTCCCCTCAAACAATTTACAGAGAAATACCCGTAAGTGCAAATGGAAGATTATTTTTCTTACAAATCTTTTCTTTATTGCTGAACTTAGTGGGAATGGAGTGTTGTATGCAAGCAAAAAGAAAATAGGCAAATAAAGACATGAAGCAACGTTTATAGAAAGATTTCTAGATCCCTTCCACTGAGAAATCCCTCAGCAGCCAGTCCCTGAATTGCCACTGCCTTGGTTCAATATATATGCTTGTTTTACAAGAATTTAGTGTCTTCTAACGTTTACAGCCCTAGGCATTTTGTACTTTCATGCTCTGCAAAGCACAGGCGGGTATAAAGCTTGAGAGCAAACTCAGTATCCTCGACCTAGGCTTGATTGGACAAAGTAGCCTGATCTTGTGATCTGTGCTTGGGAAGCACTGGAGCAATCTGCTCCAGGAGTTCACAGGCTTTCCCCATGCTCTTAATGAATTTCTCTCTTTTTTTAAGCTAATTATGTCCAGTTTAGCAAGGCGCTGAGCCCAGTGCTGTGGAAATACATGTTGCTGCCCTGCATTGGATGCTTGCAAGAACGTGGCGGCCAGAAATGCTTCTTTTCTTTCCCCTTTTTGGTATGGTTTCAAAGGAAATACGGCTTACGCAACGCCGCTGTCTGCCAGCGCCGCGGCTGGCCAGGCTCGCCGGAGCGCGCCCGATGCCAGCGGGAATTCCGGCCGGGCGGTTTGTGGGCAGAGTCCGACCGCTGTCCCCAGCCAGGGGCTCTGCGGGCAGCGCTCGGTCCCCCCGAGCCGCGCGGGCCCCGGCGCAGCAGCTTCAGCTCACGACGTGAATGGCAGCGGGTTCGTTCTGAAGGTTCGGCTGAATAGGCCGACCTGTCTCGGAAAAGCTCTCCCTGCTTGGGAGATCCCTGCAAGGGGAGGGCTGGCGCCTCCTCTGAGAGCTGTCCCCGATGAGGCCTGTCCCCGCGGCGCCCCGAGCGCGCGGCAGCTCGGGAGCTCTGCCCTGCGGAGCCGGGGCTGTGAGCGGAGCTCGTGGAGCGACGGGGCCTGAGGCCGCTTTGTGGGCGCTCAGCGGCTGCGGGGAGCCTGTGTGGGTGAAGGCTGGTGCCCCTTTGCACCCCAGCCCATGTGCAGTAGCTCCAGCTCTGCTTTGGAGCTGCGCGAATACAGGACCCTGAAGAGATGTCCGTGTGTGCGGGGATGGGGAGGCCAGGCAAGGTGCTCCCCATGAAGAGCCTCCTGGAGCAGGGCCGGCCGTGCGGCCTGGCAGGTTGACTTCAGACCTGCCCGCCTGGTGTAAGGGCCTGGCACGTCACACGGGCAGGACGATACCCTCAAGCACCGGCAGCAAGGAATAACCGGGATGTTTGTCCCTCCTCACAGAATCACCGAATGGCTGAGGTTGGAAGGGACCTCTAGAGATCATCCAGTCCAACCCCCCTGCACACACAGGGAGCACGTAGCACAGTGTCGTGTCCAGGCAGGTTTGGAAGATCTCCAGAGCAGGAGACTCCACAGCCTCTCTGGGCACCCTGTTCCAGGGCTCTGTCACCTCACAGCAAAGAAGTTCTTCCTCATATGGAGGTGGAACTTTCCGTGTTTCAAGCCGTTACCCCTCGTCCTGTCACCGCCACCACAGAGAAGAGCCTGGCCCCCTCCTCCCTCAGGCCGCGTTGATCAAATCTTCTCTCAGCCGTCTCTTCTCCAGGCTAAACAGGCCCAGCTCGCTTAGTC